TATTTGAAATTATAAAAGTGCTTTTAGGTCTTGGAAGCTCAAGAATTAATTTTAAGAAAATTATTTTCCTGCAGTGACACTGATAAAGGCTTAATCAGAGAAAATTCAAAACAAATACCTAGAGGTGGTAAAAAATTATGAAAATTTCCAGATCATGTTCTCATATTAAAAGGTGAATTATCATGGAGAGAAATGAATGTTTGGAGATCTGGAAAAATTATGGAAGGTTACTAGTGAATAGTAACCGATAAAGTTTCAAATTGGTTTGAGATAGTGATTTGGTTTGTGGGCCATCTTTTTAGACCATCCCAAACCATTCGTGGAGCCCACATTGAGCCCAATAAGGGCCCAATTTTGTGCAGCTTCCAGGTCCCACTATTTTTATTAAATAAAATGTGAAATTAAGTGTTATTTGTGTGGAAAAATCTAGAGAAAAACCACTTGGGATGATCTGATTATTTTGGCACTTGATGGCTGCCACCTACACCCTTAAGGTGTCCCAAATTTTGGCCAATTAATGAAGGGAGAGGGCAGATGGATTTTTTTCTATAAATACCTGCTTAGAATATACAAATAAATGTTGGAAAATAAAGGTAAAACTCTGTCACTGTAGCTCCAGCCCTGCTTCTTCAAAATTCTTGAGTGCTTTAGGCAAGGAATCATCTAACTTACACCAAGAAAACATTAAGGTATGTCTAAGCATCATTATCCTTAAGTTTTACATTGATTAGATTAGGATTTTGGCTTGGAAAATTATGGGAAAATGCTGTAAATTTCGGTCCAGCCATGTGATGCTTAGAAAAGGATAGAAACCTTAATAATCAAGTGGAATAAGCAAAAATTAAATGGTGTATGGATGGGTTTTTGGAAGAAATTGCACCTAGGGTTCTATATGTCATTTTTGACCAATCACTATTCATGCAGGAGCTGATTGTTTTGGCTAAATTTTATGATTCCAATGGCTTTAAAACATGTTTTTGTGTAGGGATATATGATTGGGAAGTGTTTAAAATCATTGGAATCAAAAATAGAACTTTTGGAGATATATAACCCCTATTCGGCCAAGGTAAATTCATGGGGAAGGAATGTGAATTTCAAAATCTGATTGCACCATTGGATTTCTCATGAAAATTGTGTAAGATTGAGTCATGAAGTTATTGATTCTAAAGGAGGAATCACTTGGTTAAAAATCAAAGAAAAAGGGGGGAATTATTGAGTTAAAGTTTAAGAATTGTGTTTAAGTTGTTTTGGGGTTAATGTAGCCTATGTTTATGCTTGGTTTAATAGGCATTGTGAGGAGGAACCAAGAGGAAGCTTTGTTCTTGAAGTAACCAATTGGACAAGTATTAAAAAGGTAGCTTTGAATTATAATTTGATTGTTAATCTTGCTTGTTTAATGTGATTTGTTATTTGCTTGGATGGAGGAACTTGTGTTATGGCATGGATTGGTTGAATAACCTTGGTTTATGCTTTGGCCAAATGCATTGAATTATGCCATTGTAGAAGTGTTGATATTCCTCTTTTAGTATAACATTAAGCATGATTTTATGTGGCTTGATGGTGTCTTGAGATGTGATAACATGCCACATGATAACTTGCTTGATTTTCATGATAATTGTAATTCAAATGCTACTGAGATTTCCATAAAATCTCAATCCCCTATGTTAAATCATGTCTCAAATAGGGAATGATTCATCCGATGGCAAGGGCAAAGAAATGGTTTTGGGATGAAGAAGCAATAGGGAATTCATGATATTTTGGAAAGTTGTGTAATATTTTAATGAGTTTTATGTTACATTGTAATGGATTATGAATGATAATGTGATGTAAATTATGTTTATATAACATGCCCTAATATTAAAAATTTGAATGGCATGATGCCAAAAGGATGTGGGTAAAGGAAAAAGAGAAAAGAATTAAAAGAAATAGTATTAGGGGATAAAAACTCCCTAAAAGAGGCCAAACTTGTGGCACATGAAATAATGAGCTATTGTTGGACTTTGGGTACAAAATTTTACAGACTTATATATCTCATTTTTAGCTTTAAATCAAGTGGTAAACCATCAAATTTGGACTTTTTTTTTCTAAGAGTTATGCCCTTCCAAAGTTAGGCAAAAATACTAGAAATTCAAAAGTTGACCATATGAATAATGTACCTTGTCAAATTTTATGGCATTATTATGGATGGAATTGAACCTGATGAGTATTTTTTGCTCAATAGAACTCTTAGCAAGCTTCGTGTGAAAATTAGAACCACCCCGTTTCGATTTTTCTAGAATTAGTTATGAATTTTCAAAGTTGGCCCAATTCTGGATGAATAGTGTATGGACAAAATTAAAGATGAAATTTTGAAGTTGAAATTTTTCATCCGGAAACGTTAGAAAACACATTATAATGGTTCCAATTAACATATAATAGGATATTAAAGAAGGTGTGACACTCCCTAATATAAACAGGAACTCAAGGCACATCATCTTGTCCTCGGGAAGAAAGAGGACTAGCGACACATATGGCTAGATGACACCATAATGATAAAAAGAAAATAATAAAAAGAAGACAATGAAACAACTAGACACAAGAGGAAGCCAGGTGTATGCTTGTGCTTTGTGTAGTTGTAAATGGCTTCGTTGCTTCTCCAAGGCTCCCTTGATCTCTTTTTATAGCTTTTGAATCTATCCTAGTTGGATGAGGAAATCCTTGAGTCTTCTAACTTGATCTTTTGTCTTCTTTTATCTTGTAATCTTGATAGAACTTTGAATTTGAATTATCTTGATTTGGTGTGATCATCATGGCAACCAAAGTAAAAGAGCTTTTGAATTTAAATGATATTGGATAAAGGGATAATATCTCAAATTTGAATAAAGATATGGTGGTAGGATGAATTAGGCTTAAGGTTTAGAAGAGGATAAAAATAATAATGTGGATATTTGGAAAATAAATGGATAATGAAATATGAATAAAATATTTATTCAAATTCAAAATATGATAAGGAAATTATCCACAAAAGAAATTAATTATTCAAGCTCTTTAATTTATGGTGGAAGATAAGAGATATTCTGGCTAGATATTTTGGATAATTTCTAATTAGATAATTAGAAAATCCTCTTGTAATGTCGTGTGGCTGCCACAAATGTAGTTTTCCAAGGGGTCCATGTTTTGCTTCATAGAATATTCCTTGGAATCAAAGCAGAGATTCCTTTCAAAAGGGAAATTATAAAAATATAATAAAAATGCAATTTTAAGCAATTAATTCATATAATTTTCTTAAATCAAAATATGTGTATCTATTGCATTTTAAACCCTTCAAACGTTATAAAATCCCTTAATGATACATAAAAATATATTATAAAATAGGGATACATCAAATTTCCCCATACTTAAACCTTTGCACTCCTGAGCAAAGTAATAGAAAATGAAATCATTCAAATCAACTAAGCAGGCAGAAAGTCAAACAATATTCGAGCATAAAAGTAATAATCTGATCGATTATATCCCTCAAATTGGTACGAGTCAAGGATAAATTAATGCAAATAGATTAAATTGATATTCAGTTAAATTAATGGGAATAAAGCATGAGAGAACACTCAGGATATATCTGTATTGCTCATCTTTCCTATATGGGGTATTTGTTTCACTCAATTCACTTATTTAGCCATCCTACCATAAGCTTGTAATAATTCTAATTTACCGCCGCCAGTTACATGTGCATTCAGAAATCAAGAGTTCTTTATGGCTTGTAATGTTGGGAATAGTTTATATGGAATGAAAGATGATGAACAGTAAGTAATATACATGCAAAAGAAAATAGAGGACATCTTTATTTTATATGTATAGTGCATAGAAGATGAATATATTGCTAATTATAAGAAATAAAGGGGTATTTCCTTCTCCTTCTTTTTTTCCGCTAATTTTTGTTTTTTCTTTTTTTTTGGAGCATTATATTTTTTTTTTGCTCTTTCTCTCTCTGTTTTATTTCTTCTTCTTTTTTCTTTGTCCCCTCCCTTTTTTGTTTTGCACCCTACAATATATAAGAGTAATAGCAACAGTTTGTTTTTCTAAAATGCACTTTAATGACTTGCAAAAAAAATGTCACGAGAATGAGTTATATATACATATATAGACTTACTATAAGATGGAATTTAAGAAAAGCGTTGGGCTCAAAATGGGATAACTATGGATAAAATATAAATTTGGTTCGTGTTTGGGATAAAAGGGCTTAGAATATGAATGCCTCAATCATTTTAAAGAATTGTATATGAATTGAGCAGCTATAAAAAGAATTAAGACAAGTTCTGAAGAATAAACTAAAACAAGTGAAAAACACACAAGAAAGAAAACAATTAGGCTCAAAATAATTTCCAACAAGGGTTCATCTATCATGAAGTAATTCACATTAATAAACTGAATAGCATATTACTCACAAGACATTAATTCACCTATTTCAATCACTAACCTTAAGAATAATAATTAAATAAATTATTACAATTAACAATGAATATGTAGGATTTCTTAGTTGCATAAACTATAATTTGAATGATCTATTTTCTTTTATTTATAAAAACAAGTAGTGCATTAGTTTAATTATAAGGTAATTTGAAAAAAAAATTAGGGCATATTTTTAGAAAATCAAGATTTAACTCATTAATTCCTCTCCCATACGTAAACCTTGTATTCTCCTCAATGCAAAGCTAAAATATGGCAAGAGAAACTTAGTGGCTATAGGATGTGTGTGTGTGTGTGTGTGTGTGTGTGTGTGTGTGTGTGTGTGTGTGTGTTAGGGAGTCTAAGGAACCAAAAAAAAAAAAAAAACTAATCAAACTAGCTAAAATTGCTGAAACTAATTTCTAATTAATTATGAAAAGCTAAATTACTGACTAATTAAAAACTAAATACTAATATTTTTTTCTACTGAAATTGCCTCTCCCCCCACACTTATCCTAAGCAATAAGGCTCAAAATATATTAAAAGTAGATAAGGAAAGGAAAGAGACAACCTAAAAATTATAAGGACTGCGAATTCTCATAGTAGTGCTTTAAGAGGTGCTCGTTGACTTTTTTAGGCTTACCAATGGCGTCATCTATAAGCTCCACCATGCCAAATTTATGAACTTTGGTGACTGTAAGAGGGCCATCCCATCTAATATTGAATTTTTCAGATTTAAATTTGAATCTGGCTATTAACAATAGCACCTTGTCCCCCTCTTTGAATTGTTTCCTCAATATACCTCTATCATGTAATAACTTTGTTCTCTCCTTGTAAAGGCGAGAGTTCTCATATGCTTCCAATCTCATCTCTTTAAGCTCTTGTAGTTGTAGCTTCCTTTCTAAGCTAGAGGCTTTCGTATCCATATTACACACCTTTACAGCCCAGTATGTTTTGTGTTCAAGTTCTACAGGGATGTGGCAAGATTTATCATAGATGGTTCTATAAGGAGACATCCCTATAGGTGTTTTATATGCCGTTTTGTAAGCCCATAAAGCCTCCTCCAAACGTGAACTCCAATCCTTCTTGGAAGGCTTTACAATCTTTTCTAAGATGTGTTTTATTTCTCTACTTGATACCTCAACTTGTCTGTTAATTTATGGGTGATGAGCAGTGGAAACTTTATGTGTGACCCTAAATTTTGCAAGGAGCTTATTCAAGATGTTATTGCAAAAATGTGTGACCCTAAATTTTGCAAGGAGCTTATTCAAGATGTTATTGCAAAAATGTGTGCCCCTATCACTTGCTATTGCTTGTGGTATTCCAAATCTACAAAAAAAATTTGATTAAAGAATTTAGAAACCATTTGAGCATCATCCTTGCATGTAGGAATAGCTTCTACCCATCTGGATAAATAATTAATGGCAAGTAAAATATAATTGAAGCCATAAGATAGAGGGAAAGGCCCCATGAAGTCAATTCCCCAAATGTTAAAGACTTCACAAAACAACATCGGCTATTGTGGCATCTCATGCCTTTTGCTCAGCCCACCAAATTGTTGACACTTGTCATAAGCTTTACAATAGGTGTAGGCATCTTTGAATAATGATGGCCAATAAAATCCAGCATCTAATATCTTTTAAGAGGTCTTCTTGGCACTAAAATGTCCTCCACAGACTAAAGAGTGACATGCATCTAATATGGCTTGGAATTCACCATCTGATACACATCTTCTAATTACTTGGTCACTGTATATCCTCCATAGGTGTGGGGTGTCCCATACATAATAATGTGATTCTCTCTTTAGCTTTTGAACCTGAAAAGGAGACATATTGTAAGGAACCACATTTACAACCAAATAATTAACTATATGAGCACCAAGGCTCTTTCATAGATAAAGCAAAGAGAGTTTCATCAAGAAAATCATCACAATTAAAATCAAAGTTATCTACTCCCCTTGTGTTTTCTAAAAGCCTGCTAAGATAGTCCGCTACAAAGTTTTCTGCTCCTGCTCTGTCCTTGATTTCCACATTAGGATAAGCAGCATCCATCTTAAAAGCCTTAGTTTTGATTGAGGCTTTTTAAATAAATATCTCACTGCTGCATAGTCAGTAAAAATAACAACTTTGGAATTTATTAAATATGATTTAAACTTATCAAGTGCAAAAATAATTGCAAATAATTCTTTTTTCGTGGTTGCATACTTCACTTGAGCACTAACTAAAGTCCTTGATACATAAGATATGACTTTGGAATTCTGACCATCTCTTTGTCCAAGCATAGCACCAACTGCATTGTTTGATGAATCACAAGATAATTCAAATGGTAAATCCTAATAAGAAGAGGTGAGAATGGGGGGCATTATAAGCCTCTCTTTTAGCATGTCAAATGCTTCCTTCCAGGCATCATTAAATATAAACTCAACATCCTTCTGCAAAAACTTAGAGAGAGGTAAAACAATTTTACTGAAATCTTTTATGAACTTCCTGTAAAAACTTGCATGTCCTAAAAATGATCTAACTTTTTTTAAATTTGTAGGATACGATAACAAAGATATAATTTCAATTTTTGCTTTATCTACCTCTATTCCTTTGTTGGATACTAAGTAGCCTAAAACAATTCCTTCATTAACCATAAAATGACATTTTTTCATAATTTAAAACTAATTTTTCTCTCGACACATCTAGTAAGTATCTTATCTAAGCTATCAAGGCATGTATCAAAGGAATCCCCATATACCATAAAGTCTTCCATAAACACATCCATGTATTGCTCCAAGGAGTCAAAAAATATAGACATCATGCAACATTGGAATATTCCCGGAGCATTGCATGACCCAAAGGGCATCTTTCTATAAGCATATGTACCAAAAGGGCATGTAATTGTTGTCTTTTCTTGATCCTCCGGTTTTATGGGAATTTGAAAGTACCATGAAAAGCCATCAAGACAACAGTAGTGAGATCTCCCTGCTAATCTTTCAAGCATTTGATCAATAAATGGCAAAGGGAAGTGATCTTTCCTAGTGGCTTCATTTAACTTTCTATAATCAATACAAACACGCCATGAATTTTGCACTTGAGTAGGTATTAATTCATAATTTTCATTCTTAATTACTATAATACCACTCTTTTTAGGAGCTACCTGAACAGGACTGACCCACTTACTATCAGAAATAGGATAAATAATTCCAGTACTTAGAAGTTTAGTTACTTCTTTCCTTACAACATCAAGTATAAGTGGATTAAGTCTTCTTTGAGATTGCCTAACATGTTTGGAATTTTCATTTAATAAAATCCTATGAGTACAAATAGAAGGATTAATTCCTAGAATGTCAGCTAACGTCCAACCTGTAGCATATTTATTTCTTTTAAGAACAAAAATCAATTTAGCCTCTTGATTTGCAGTTAAAGAATTAGAGATCATTACAGGTAACTTCTCATTTAATTATAAAAAAGCGTATTTTAAATTAGAAGGTAGAGGCTTTAATTCTAAATCAGGGGGTTAAACAATAGAAGAAAGTAATTTTGAAACAGAAGTACTCCCTTGGACATTTGGTTTTGAATGGCATGATGAACTATCATGGGAGGCATCTTTTGCTTCTTCTACCTTCTCAAGCTAGCATTGAATCTATTTTGTTCAAAGCTTTGTTAAGCTTAGATCCTTCATTATTCTCTAATGCAATTTGTTGCACAAAAGGTAATATATCCAGAGGAATAGGAATCCTTTCATTCAAAGAGGAAGAAGAAAAAGAAGATGAAGACATGGGGGGTGACGATGAAAAGGAAGATGTGAGGGATGAAGAAAAGGAGAAGGAATCAAGAGGAATTAGTGTAATGTTCCCTTCTTCAATATATGGTTGTCTTTGTGTTTGAAATTTATAGTATAGGAAGGTGGAATGGATGGATAAGGGGATTCACTTGCAATTTGATCATCTACCTACTCCTTCAAATCTACAAAATTCAAAACAAAACCTTCCGTGAAATCATGGCCTGTAAAAGGCAATGAAAGAGATGAAGATATAGATGAATCACATGAGGAAAGACAATTATCAATTTCTAAACAACAGCACATATAATCTCATTATCATAAGAACAAGAAGTAGAGGAAGATAGTGGAGAACAAATTTCCAACCATTTATTCAAATTAGAATCATGTTCATCAATTGCTTCATCAATAGATAAATCAATTGCATTTACTTCTAATAGTGAATAATCCTCATAAGGGTGTTTTATAGCCTCATACATGTTAAAACTGATTTTGTTATCTCCTAATTCCATAGTGATTGACCCATCTTTCATATTAATCATAGTACATGCAATGCGTAAGAAAGGTCTACCAAGTATTAATGTGCCATCATGCAATATTTCTCTAGACATATCCAACACATAAAAATCAGTAGGAAACACTAAACATTTAACTTGTACAAGAATATCTTCTAAAATGCCATCAAGATGCCTAATAGTTCTATTAGCAAGTTGTAACACCACACTAGTTGATTTTATATTCTTAATTCCAAGTGATGTATACATAGATTTAGGCATAACATTGGTTGCAGCCCCTAGATCTAACAAAGACTAGTTAATATCTATTTTACCAATAGTGCAAGGTACAGTGAAAGATCCGGGATCTTGGCATTTAATAGGTAGCTGAGGTTTAAATAGTACAGAAACATTAGAGCTAATTTGTACTCTTTCATTAGGTTTAAATTTTTGTTTATGAGTACATAAATCCTTAAGGAATTTAGCATATTTAGGCATGGTTTGAATTAACTCTAATAAAGGAATATTAACCTCAACCTTTTTAAACAATTTAAACACCTCTTTATCTTGCTCTTTTTCAGAAATCCTTTTACGTGAAAGATAAGAATTAGGAAACAGGATGTCTTGAATACTTACCTCATTAGGTGCAGTAGAGTGGGTTTGCTTCATGAGTGCCTTTTCCTTCAAGCTTTCAGATTGCACAGCAGGAGTAGTAGTGACTTCTTCAGTGGCGTCATTTCTCAGCTCATTCATATCATTAATGGCATCAATTTGGACACCTTCTATAGTGTCCTTTTTGTCATCTCCTTCATCAAGGTGTACTTGCTTTTCACTCCTCAATGTGATACTACCTCCAGTCCTTAATATAGGACCTTGTTTGACTTTTATTTTGGTCCTAAATATAAGATCCCAATCCATTTTATCTCTCATACTTATACATTTTTTTTCAAAGTAGTCCTTCTAACAATAGTAGTTCTAGCCAATACACTAGATTAGCAAGGATATTTTAGGAAAGACAATACTTATTTAGGACAAATAACTAACTTAATTTACTTCCTTAATTTCCTCAATTTAGTAAACTAGCTCTTATAATTAGGACCAGAAGTAGTAGCATTTAAAGGCTTAGGATTAATGACAGTATTAGAGGGAATAGATCCTCCCTCCCTTGCTTGCTGCTCATTCTGGCTGTTAGACAACTTTGTCACAAATTCATTAATATTGCCAACCTTCGTTTCTAGAGCAACTTGGTTTTTAGTAAGATCTTGCACAACCTTCAAGAGAACAGTAAGTTGAATATCTATCTTAGGAGCTTGTTTATGAGGAATTTGCTGAAAGTTCCCATATGGTTGTGTTTGTCTCGGAGGAGGTTGATACCTTTCATGATTATTTCTATTGTCTCCTCCACAATACCTAAGGTTTGGATTCATCTTCCACCCCTCATGGTAAGTATTAGAAAAGCGGTCCCATTTTTTATTAGGTCTCCCTTGGTACATAGTAGAAACCTCTTCAACATTATAGGGGCATATGGTAGTAACATGTGTAAAAGAGTTGCATATTTCATAGCTAGTAGGCATAAGTTCACGCATTGTACTACAGAATCAAAGTTACTAGGTGAACTAGAGTCACTAGTTTCCTTTTTACTAGAAGTACTAACTTGATTGATTTTATGCAAAATTTGTTTTCTACACAACCTAAATGTTCTTTTAGGCTCAGAATCAAAAGGGACTAAAGTAGTATCCCTAGGCATGTGTAGAAAT